TTTTGCGGTACGCAGGCCTCTCACTGTTGTGGTCTCTCCCGTTGCGGGGCACAGGCTCCGGACGCGCAGGCTCAGCGGCCATGGCTCACGGGCCCAGCCGTTCCGCGGCATGTGGGATTTTCCCGGACCGGGGCACGAACCCGGGTCCCCTGCATCGGCAGGCGGACTCTCAACCACTGCACCACCACGGAAGCCCCTAGAGATTTTTATTTTTAGCCATTTCTTTTATTAGTAAAAATGTAATAAAATGGAACTTAATACCAGGGGAGATTCTGAGAAATTAAAAACAAATAATTAAACTTTATTTTGTGGTACTTTTCCTCGTATTAATCACCAATTTTGTTATTGCAGAATGTGATGGTGGTTAGCTGTGTTTATCCTTCTTCAGAGTAAGTATAGATATTTTTCTTTTTCTAGTATATTCTAATTATTAAATCATTTCTAATGTATTAGTCTTAAAAATAGGTTGCATTTATTTTATATGTAATTAAGCATGATAATATTTGTAAATGCTTATGAAACTACCATCCAGTACTCAAAGTAGAATATTACCAGTAACATTACCTATATGTTTTTCCAGTGAACAGAGTTGTATTAAAGAGATTCATGATTTACTGCAGTCTTAACACTGTTGGATTTATGTACTGTCTGGACCCTGGGATCCCATCCGAGACAGGCCATTTCTAGGAAATAATTCTTAGGTTTGTAATAGCTACTTGATGACATCGCTCTTCATGATGGAAAATTATTTCCAGTTGCTAAGATTTATATAGTAAATTAAGGTTGCAATTTAGGGCACACTCCTTGGCACCACTGGTATTTTATTATGAGTGGATGTCCTGGGATTGCAGGAGATTCAGCACTGCCCATGGCTTCCACTGAATGCCAGTAGTGTCCACCACTTCCCGTGAAAAATTTCTTTAGACGTTGCTAAATGTCCCCTGGGGATGCAGAGTGAGGGAAGGGGGATTGTTGGAAGATGTTGCCCCCTGTTGAGAAACACTGGTTTAATGGTTAAAATATCTGATTTCATACAGACCAATAACAGTGAATTTGTTAGAACTCTTGAAGAATGTGCCTGTATGTTGTTAAATAACATACTAAGATAATCCCATAGCTGTTTCTCTTAGAAGTCTTTCATTTGGTTCTGTGACAGTGAGATCTTACAAAAGATCTTTAGACCCGTGATTCTCATCAAAATTAAAGAATTAAACTATCCATAAAAGCGTTTTTTTCTTTTCTTGTAGGAAGAACAGTTCCAATAGTTTAAATCGAATGAATGGTGTTATGTTTCCTGGAAATTCACCAAGTTACACTGAAAGGTCAGATTATTGATTTTTATTATTCAAAGAGTTACAGTTTCTTAATTTTGGTTAGGAAATTCAATATACTTATTAAGAATTGGGAATTTTACGGCAGGTTAGGATATACCAAACAGAATTAGTTAATTTGGTAATCCATGGTTCTGAAAGTCAAAATTAAAGAAAATGTTTCCGTGATATGTTCATATAAACAAACCTTGGGAGGGATGACTTTTTAACAAAAATGGGAAAATGATGTTCATTTATTTTACTGTAGGTCTAATATAAATGGACCTGGAACACCCAGGCCACTTAATCGACCAAAGGTTTCTTTGTCAGTCCCCATGACAACAAATGGCTTACCTGAGAGCACAGACAGCAAAGAGTCAAACTTAAAGCAAAATGAGGATAAAAATCACAGGTTTGTATGTGATTTATATTTAAAAGAAAAAATGTTTTCCAAAAGAGTTAACATTTATTGATGGTTTTTCAGCCCTCATTATTTATTATTTAGAATTTACTGTTGTTTTGAGGGGTAGAAAAGGTTTTAATGCAGTCAAAAGGGGCTGCAGCTTTTTGCAGCATTATCACATGCTGACGATGGGCAGAGAAAAGACTTAAACTGCTAATTTGGGGAGATTTTATTTATAATAGGGTGTTAAGAAAGTGGTCATGGTACATTTTTTACTTCTTTTTGAAAGTTACTTGAAAAGAGAAGATATTTATAAATGAGTTGAAATTTTGTGAATTATTTCTCATTGTAGATCATAAAAGGAAACCTTTTTATTTATATCCCATCTCAAATTTTCTACATCACATTAAGGGAAGGAAGACTGAATGAGTGAGAGGAATTAAAGAGTATTGGCCTGCCTGGACAGAAGGGTCTTATCAGAACTGATTTCTTAAATTGGTGATGACGCAGAAAGGTGTCTTTGTTCTGACTTACTCAGGAATAATGAGCATCTTATCTACAGCTTACTCTCAGATGGTTCAGAAAATTACTAATGACAATAAGAATAAACAGGGATGGAGACAGGGTGATGGAGCAAATGCAGTGAGTTGCTAATTAAGGGGATCTGCTTTAGGGGGATATGATAGTTCTTTTTCTGTGAGTTTAAAAATATTTCACAATAACTTACTTAAGGAAAAGAAAAGAGTATGTCCCTGTGGAAGACTCGTAGTTTTATTATAGGAGGACATTTAACTTACTGGAGAATTCAACAGAAAGGTCATGTAACTTATTGACAAGTTGCTAGTGGGAAATATTTATTAAACAGTTTAGGTGTCCTCGAAATTATTCTCTTGTGTTTTTCTTTGCCCGGATGTTATAATTTAACTTTGACACTGAAATACAGTTAAACATTATTAGACCTTAAAAATGAGAATGTAAACGATGAAGAAACAGTCTTACTAATGACACTTTAAAACAATATTTACAGTGACTCTTCCACATCTGAATCAGAAGGTTCCTCAGTGAGCCCTATAAAAAATAAACATCCAGATGAAGATGCTGTGGAAGCTGAGGGGCGTGAGGTAAAAAGACTCAGGTTTGACAAAGAAAGCGACGTCAGAGAGATGGCCAGTCAGACATCTTCCAGTGAAATTTCTTCAGTTATGGTAGAAGAAACAGAAGCTCCATCTTCATCTCAGAATAACGACAAAGAAATTAGTTGTACCAGGCAGCACTGTACAGAAGAGGATGAAGAAGAGGATGAAGAGGAAGAAGGTATTTAGAGACCATCTGTAAAAGGGTGGAGTAAGGAGATCCTCAAATTCTTGTACTTCATTTTTGCGTGAAAGAATGTCACATAATGGAACTCCTTATAATGCTGATGTTGGGCTTTTCTCCCACCTTTATGTGTTCTGTAGTTGCTGCTGAGTTTCAGGGATATGATTTGAACTGTAGAGTATCAGAATTCATGAAACTTAACTGTGGAGGTATTTTGAAAATGAAATTTAACTACAACAACATTTGCTTATTTTTAGAGTCTTTTATGACATCAAGAGAAATGATCCCAGAAAGGAAAAATCAAGAAAAAGAATCTGATGATGCCTTAACTGTGAATGAAGAGACTTCCGAGGAAAATAATCAAATGGAGGAATCTGATCTGACTCAAGTTGAGAGAGGTTTACATTCTGAAGGTAGTGAAAATACCGGCCCTGTAAGTAGTTCCAGTTGCCATGAAACGGAAGAATTAATAGGATCCAATTCCAGTAAAACTGGAGAGATTCTCTCAGAATCTTCCATGGAAGCCACAGAAGTCACAGATGAACCAATGGAACAAGACTAACTATTTAGAAATATTTAGATGCAGTATTTTCCATACAGTTCTGGTTTCACACTGTATAAAACTTTTATGTAATAAAGTGGACCTTTAGTTTTACAAGAGAAGCAGGTTGTAAAATAAAGTACTGTATGGGATCAATCCTGAAAGAGTCGCACATGTAAGAACTGTGAGTACCAGCTCCTCGGGGTCCTGCTTACCGCTGACTTCTTTTGCTCTGGTCAGATCAGTGGTTTGTGTATAGATTGTTTTTTTTTTTTAATTTAGAGTTAAAAATTTTAAACTGGAAGATAATAATTATAATTTTGAAAACTTTTGGAGATTATCACATTTAGTTTATACATATGCAAGAAAGCTTTTTGTCTTGTCTCTTTCTGACAGCTCTAGCAGTTTTCATATTTTGGTCATAGTTTCAACATTTTAACATGAATTATAGGGTTTCATGTTGGTTTCCAGATTTTATTGTTTGACTATGTACTATGGAACTTTAAGTCATATATACATATATATATATATATATTATTCTAAGGGGGGAAATGTTATATTTTTCTTTTTCTATAAGAGATGAATACAGTGGATACTTTTTCTATTGGTAATGATTGAGTTCACCTCTTTCAGAAGACAGTTTCTTTCTCTTCTGAGTAATTCAAATAAAATCTGGCCCTTGTGGAACCCTGGAAATCTTAAGTCTGTTGAAATGCCAGGTTAAACACATTCCAAGAGATCTGTTCAAACTAAAATTCTTTTGTATACTTCTGAGGTGCCTGAGAAAAAGACTTCATTATTTATGAGAAAATGTGCTTTATCTTGGAAATTGTGTGCAAACATTAGCTTACTGTTTTGTAGAATGAATGCTTATAAAGCTGACATGAAACCATCTCAGAAGAACCAGGCAGGTTTCTTTACCTTTTGCTTGCTTTTCTGAACAGTGTGAATACTACACATTTCTTTCTAAATTATTCTAGAGTATACAGATGTCAATGGTATGAAACACCACTGTACTGGAAGAATTAATATATTACTTTAGTAATGTACCAGAGCTAAATGACTGAAGCTTTAGGGGTACATAAAAACCACCGTAATTTGTATGACATTTTGAAGTGAATTAAATATTTTTGAACATGCTTCTTCGACAGCCAGTGTTATATTTTTCAGATCAACACAAAGCACAATGGTTACTCTAAACTCAATATTTTCAAATTCACGTAACTTAAAGTCATGCAAGCTGCAATTTCCCTGTCTAAATTACTGGCTGCCAAATTTATACCTGTTTCTTCAGCTGTACCTTTTGATATTTAGAATTTTTAAATTTCTGTAAAGTAGATTTTGTAGAATGTAATGTGTTCACTGCCTTTGTGAAGCGGTATATAATTGTATAATTTCTGTGTGTAAACTGAATGCTTGGGCTTTCAATACAGTATTCATATAAAGCAATAAATATTAATGTTATGAAATATTTGAGTACATTTTTATCAAAATATATAAGAATCCCTTTTTTTAATTTCAGATACCTGAAGTACACAGATGAACTTATAAAACTGATGCAAACATTTTCTGACACTGTATCATATGCTCTGGGGTGATTTGGGCGGCAACCACAAGTTTTGCATTTTGCCTACTTCAGTTGCTATGACTAAAAATACCAAAATGAGTTGGCTCCGTTTATGTCTGTAGGATATTATACTACTGACTGACTTGACTGTCAGGTTTACAGCAGCTAGATGATATATTTGTGAATATGTCTCATAGTTGAAATAAAAACTGAGTATTGATTTATTTACTGTTATTCAAGAGGGGAGGAAAAAAATCACACGTTGTAAATTTTTAAAAAAATTTTGCAAAAATGTTAATGAAGCAGATTTTAAATGTGACATTCATTTGTAGTGACCTAGTCTTTATTTTCTTGAGGGATATTTTGCCAATGAGAGCAGATTTTAAACATTTTAAGTTTAGAAATTTTGAAATTTTCTTTAGAATATTTATGAAATTATTGTCAATAAACCTATTCTTTAAGATTCTGTGACCTTTTGATATTTTTTATTTTAATTGTGCCATGGACCACTTGTAAACTGATTTACTTTTGTTAAATATAAGTTGAAGATTTAGCGTCATGACTTTGAGGTCTGTGGTTTTATTTGTAAACTTGCAGTTGCTGTTTTGGCGAGGGCAAATGTATTTCTTTATTAAATAAAGTACAATAATGGTGAATGTACCAAAATGCCATCACTCAACTCTATGAGAGATCTGCATTTTAATCTATAGTTTAATAGTTTTAATATTTATTAGATATTCTTATGTTGATCATAGATCAAACTTGTTGCTGTTTATACAGATAGTTGTAGAATGCTCATGGAATATTTTCTTTAGGATAGATGGAATACTTAGGTAGTTAAACTGGGAAACCTTGTTCAGCTGGTTGGAGATACGATGTCCATTGGGAAGTAAATTTCCTCGAGTATATGCATAGGTGCACTTACACAGACTTTGCTTCATGGAAATGTCAGTTCTAATAGTAACTGATTCAGATGTGTATTTTTAGAAGGCTAATTTTAGGCACATTTTCTTAACACACATCAGCAAAGTCATATTAAAAGATCTAAATGAAGAATTAGGACTTTGGTGATTAAAATATTATTTTCTGTTTTGGCCTTGAGCAGATCGTTTACCTTTTAGACTCTAGACTCTGAACCCAACATGTAAAAAGAATTTAAAATGTTGATGAGGAGAGCGAGAATATACATGGAATACACTTTCAGCACTTTTCCCTTTTAAGAAAGTGAAAACATTATCCCAGTACATTTTTTAAAATATATCTTCAGTTCTGAAAATGTTGGCAGACAGAAATGAGTAGTGGAAAATGTCATATTTTATATGTTTGATTATCAGATACATTTAATCCACTTAGGGTTTATTGTAACTACACCTTTCAGAAGTGTGGATGGAGCAATGAAATTGCCTGTCAGAGCTATAAAACCCTCTGGCTTGGAAAGGCATCCCAGAAACTCTGGGTAAGAAGGCGTGGCCTGTTAAAGCATGGAGGTTCAGAGTGTTTTATTTTGCTGGTGTAGATAGGCATGTACTTATGCATTTTTGCATTTGTAAAGTCAGCAATTTTTCAAATAATGTAATTGTAATATACTAGTTTACTTATAAAGATACTTGGGGCAGAATCTAAAGCTACGATGTTTGAGTATGAGAAATGTAACGTGTGGTAAGGACAAAAATGCAATTTGTAGAACCAAAGGAAATAAAAATTTTGGATAGTGTTTCACAATGTCTTCTGAACAGGAGTTTCTTAAATACATTGGTTTTGATCAGATGAAGCTTAGTTCTCTCGAGATTTGTGCTAATCATAAAATGGATGAATGCAAAAACACCTTGTAATTTCATATGGAATTATTATAATTAGGTTTATTGGACTATTGGCCTAGCAAGAATGCTAGTATGTATTGGTTAGAATACATCTAATATTTCACATTTTAAAAATAACTAGTACACTTTCTTCAGAATTTTATTTCATCAACTTGGAGCCTAGATTACTTTGCCAAATAAATGTATTATTTTCATAATGCAATAAAATATAAACTAGAAGAATATCTTTATGTGTGGAATTACTTTATTTGCCATTAATAGTTTACACTCCCTCCCTCCAGTGCCCCCTTTTCTCTCACCTTAGGTACGTTAAGATGCACAAGCATTTCCTGATCCATAGGGAGAGGAGCCGCATGACTTCATTACAGCTCTGTTGCTTAAGTGGTAACAGGGTGTTTCCACAGAGATGGTGCATCTGAGTTGAATGGACGATTGTTCTCTGCTAGGCAACTCGTACCTGGGATCAGTAAAATCAAGATTTACCATGTAAAAATTTCTCTTGGCATAATTTGGCACTAGTTGTCATGCACAGATCTACGCTATTTGTATTAGAATCATTTTAGAAATGGCAGTTTCAGACAACTACATGGTTAAAAGTGTAGAGTTGCCCTCAATGGAGAGGGTGGATTCCATTTTCAGTTCTGGGTTCTCATTTCTTCCTATGTATTACTGCACAGTAGGTGATAGTAAGTGGTGACATCTGTGGCTCTCGACTCAGAAGATAGGAGTATTAATCAGCATGTTTCTGAATTTAAATATTGAGTTTCAGCTTCTCATCTTTGATTTCTAACTTCTCCCCACTTTATTATTTACTAAATGCTATAGCTAGTATAGAGTTTTGGGTTAACTGATACGAAGACTGATTCTTCTATTGATTAGGAATAAGAAGCATGATCTCTGACCACTTGCCCATCTAGAATGAAGAGTACACTACTGTTGTATTTTAACAGATTTTTTTTTTTCCAGTGTAAAATTCAGTTGAGTCTGGGGTCTTTGGATTTATTTGTACGCTTTCAGAGTTTTTCTTCCCAAAGGCAATGCATTTTTTTTAACTAAAAATGACAAATACACAAAAATGCCAGTAATTCCCAGTGTCCTAGTCAGAAGACTCCACTGGTTTACTGATTTTTATAATCTTGCGAGCTAGTCCTATGCTTGGCAAGTGGTAACAGTTGAAATTAAGTGGGCTTTGTGGATACTGGCTACACAAACACTTGATTCCTGGGACTACTTTCTCCCTGCTTTAAAAGGGTTCCAAGTTCATCCCTGAAGCCTTTCATTGTTGCAAAGTTTGTGGATTTGGGAGCAGTATATGCCATTGGATGTTCCTAAATCCAGGGGCAGAAATGTGCATCCAAATAACAAACTTCTGTGACTGTGTGACCAGCCCCCCTGACCTATAGAAAGTCACCACACTACACCCTTGCCTGACTGGGGACAGGTGTTTCTGGAAGTGGTAAGTTGTGTCATTAAACTCGCAAAGTCCTGCTTTAATGTGCTATTAACGGGACTTGCTATTTGGCCGATAATGCTTTGCTTCAAGAAATCTTGGCGGTTGAATACGTTTGCAAGGCCTTTAATGGTGCCTATGTTTGCTGAGACTTTGAGGGGTAAATACGTGGTTAGTGTTTGGCCGTCTTCATTTTGGATCATTGTTTTTCTTTCCATTGCTTGCAGTGCTGCAGAATGGGAGGTTAAGCTTAATTGTCACCACCAGAATTCACATGCATTTAGGAATGCACATAATCTCCCACTTTCCATCTGGGAACCTGAAACTTTTAGGTGGCAACTTGTATGAATTGTGTATTTGTGGGGCTAGAGGAGTAAACTCAGTCCATTCAGTCATGCTTGGAGAACAATAACTAGGCAAGTTTTTAGCAAAAGGCAGCTTGCGACTTGCACAGGACAGATATTAGTGCTGTTGTGGCAGTCTGGGAAGGTGTCTCAGATGAGGTGGGGTGCAGTTTGGCCTTGAGAGCTGAGCAGGACAGCCAAGGAGGTAGCACGGTATCAATGGGCAGAGTACAGAGACGTGGGTTAAGTCACAGCTTCAGAGTCCCCACCTGAGGTTCCTTGGGAAGGTTACAGTTTCATCATTCGTAAAGTGGGGGAAATAACTATTTTCCTGGTAGGATTGTTGGGAGCATTCAAGGTAATTATGGGCATAAAGCTAGATCTAGTCCAGGACCTGGTATTTCTTTTAAGGAGGAGAGTCATGGAGGGGGGAGATACGGTTTGTCCCTGGGGAATACAACAATTTTGCTGGAATCAAAGTCGAGGTTTCAATCCTGGTCAGTACCTGGTAATAATGGCAAGCACCAGCTGAGCGCTGACGTTATGCTCTATGTATCCTTAGCAAGTGTAATGCATTATCTCGTTTAACCTTCCCATCAACCCTATGAGATGCTTAATATTATCTCATTTTACAGACGGGGTTCTTGATGTAAAGAAAGGCAACTTGCCCTGGGACCCTTCGAAAGTGGAAGGTGAGAACTCCAAAGCCCAATGATTTTTAGCTATTATGCTTAGGTGCTGTCTAGTCTTAGGAGACCTGTAGACTTAGTAGGGCAGCAGAGAGGAAGCCATTCCGGTATCTGAAGGTTCTCAGAGACACTCAGACCTGCCTAAGTTCAGGTACATCAAAAGGCTTCGTCAGTCAGAAACCCAAGCACTTGGTTTCACACTGCATGAACTTCACAATCTAGCTTCACATCTTTTTTTTATCACCCGTGTTTTTCCAGCTAGACATTTTGAGTATATCATCTATTTTTAAAAATTTATTTAAAAAATTAGATAATGCATACCTGGCAAAAATTCAAATAGAGCAGAGCAATATATACCAGACTGTTGTTGTCTTACTAGTGTTCCTTCAAATCCCTCAGTTTCACCCTCCTCCTGAACCCCAAGGGAGGTGCCCTTACCAGCCGGGCTTAGTGCCTGACAGTCAAGATCCTGGGGCAGGTTCCCTGGGTTTCAGTCCCAACTCTGCCACTTGCTGGCTGTGTGACCTGTGACTGTAAGATGTGGAGGAGGTCCCAACCTCACGGGGCTGTTATGAGGATTAACCATTAGAAAAGAGTCGGGCATGTAGTAAGCGCTGCTTGCATATGAGTTCAAAAAGACAGCATTTTGAAGAAATTGTTATCTTTCCAAAGATAACCTAATTCCATTGCAAACCACCGTGGTGGTCCCTACCTCTCCCCCGGCTTTCCTTTCCGTAGTGAATGTACATTACACACATTGAGATACCCTTGGCCTTTTTTCTTCCCTGTATATTTTTGTGATACTTCTTTGACATCAGTACCTGGAAAGCTACCCCAGTCATTTTAACGGCTGCATAGTATTTCAGTGGTAGATGAACCATAATTTATTTAACAACAGGCCTCCTTTAAGGGACCTCATGATATTTTGACTTGTGGCCATTGTTTGCTCGGTGTGAGCAGTTTGACACTGAGACATGTAAAATCAGCCCCTCCAACCCCCCTCTCCGGAAAACAACAACAACCAAACAAGCCTCTGGATTTTAAGGAATCCTTAAAGAATTACTGTGTGTGAAATAGATGTCCTTGCCCTTGGGGAAGTGGTGGAGGGAAGGATGAATTATCTGTCAGGCAAACCACATACTATATTTCAAGCCATCTCAATTGTAAGATACACTGCTACTTTATGTAAAGTAAGAAAACAAGCCGCCCACGGAAGCATGAGACAGGCTGGGTGCTCTTCCTTGCACGGACCTTTCGCGGGTCACAACAGCCTCACTGTCTCCTGGCAAATTTTGCAGTTTGTCTGCCCTGCTGTGGCTTGTGATGGTGCTGCAATGAAACAAAACACAGCTTCACTTCTCTGTGGGTGTTTTTTTCTTTCTTAGACTCTGCAAAACTCTTGGTTGTTGCTTGGCAAGAAAATACGTAATTTCAGTCGTTTTCCCAATAACGAATACTTGCTTTTCTAATGTCAAAGATTTACTCCTTGCTGTTCTGTTTCTGTGACTTTCAGGACATGGTCACACACACACACACACACACACACACACACACACACACACACACACATTTTGGTTGGGGGACATGCTAACTTGTGGTCTCAATGTGGGATCACAGCATAAGCCTTTTAAAGACGTTTCCAGGGCTTCCCTGGTGTCGCAGTGGTTGAGAGTCCGCCTGCTGATGCAGGGGACACGGGTTCGTGCCCCGGTCCGGGAGGATCCCGCATGCCGCGGAGCGGCTGGGCCCGTGAGCCATGGCCACTGAGCCTGCGCGTCCGGAGCCTGTGCTCCGCAACGGGAGAGGCCACAACAGTGAGAGGCCCGCGTACAGCAAAAAATAAAAATAAAAAATAAAGACGTTTCCAGTGGCGATTAATTTCGACACACATGGTGCGCATCACTCGATTGGAGGGACAAGAGTATGAAAAGGGACGGCCACTTTGCACATGCCCTCACTGTGGCCACTGCCACGGCTCCCGCTGGCCCTCCGTGATTGAGATGCATCCAGATTTCTGAGAAGATAAAACCAGGATGCTAGAATCCAGCGTCTCAGAAAGAGGCATCAGTCAATCCAGGCAGTGATTTGCTACTTTGTTCATCCAGACGTATTTATTAAGGAGTTACTTGTGAACCTGGGCCTGGAGACACAGCAATTAATGAAGACAGACAAGGTAAGTAGAAATGTATGTAAGACAATTACCTCTAAGGACCCAGGTGAAACAAGGGAGGAAGATGGGCAGTGGGGGGATGGGAGGAGCAGTAGCTCTATCTTAAATCGGGTGTCAAAAACTGACATTTTGGGCTCTCCTGGCGGCGCAGTGGTTGAGAGCCCACCTGCCGATGCAGGGGACACGAGTTCGTGCCCCGGTCCTGGAAGATCCCACATGCCGCGGAGCGGCTGGGCCCGTGAGCCATGGCCGCTGAGCCTGCGCGTCCGGAGCCTGTGCTCCGCAACGGGAGAGGCCACAACAGTGAGAGGCCCGTGTAACGGAAAAAAAAAAAAAGACATTTTGTGTTGAGTGTGTTGGTTGTGCCCCACAGAGGGGCTCAGCTCCCTGGAGGGCAGCCACTGTCTGTCTCTGAGAATTCAGGGGGGTCTCTCTGATTCTTTGTTCTTTCTTATACTCATGCCCTTTCAATTAATAACCAGATTTGGCTTCTTAATAATGGGACTGAATTGTTTTCCATGTGCACCAAAGAAGATATTCAGATTACTTTTTGAATATGTGAAAATAGACG